AGGCCCTACAGGTTTGCCAACCCAGCCACTGGAAGACCCAACTCCAGGCCGGGGCCACCACTCCGCGACGAACACAAACATTCCAAGCGTCCTGTGCCAGCTGCGAGGACCCACACGAGCGCAAAATGTGCCACTTCCAGGACACCGTCTGCCGATCGTGTGAAAAACAGGGCCACATCGCCCACGCCTGCCGATCCCGTGGAAATCGGACAGCAATGTCCACTCACCAGGAGGACCTGGATCTGCACACGTTGTCCATCAACCAGCACCAGGTACTGAATTGGCCCCCTGATGCCCCGAATAAGATGCATGTCACGGTATTAATCGAGGGGGTCCCCCGTCGCATGGAACTAGACACAGGCTTCTTCTTTTCCATTATCTCGGCGGAGACTCTACAGAGACTCTGCCCTTGGGGGGGACCACTCCTGGAAAAGCCACGGGGTTTGTCTCTGTGGGACTTAAAAAAAAAACCTGTGGCTATCAAGGGCTGGGGCAGGTTCAAGGTCCAATTCAGAGACTTTGACGGCCCTTTAGAATTGGTGGTGGTGGAAGGGAAGCTCACTAGCCTGTTGGGACTTGCGTGGTTTGAGCCCCTGGGTTTTGCGGTGATGGGCGTCCACTCTGTACAACCGCAGGACTTTAACACGGTCTGCGGGGAGTTCCTGGAGGTGTTTGACGGCACACTGGGCCAATACTCCGGGCCCCCAGTCTCCCTGGACCTTGACCCTGCGGTGCGGCCGATCTGGATGAAGGCCAGGCGGCCCCTGTTAGCACTGCGGCCCAAGATAGAAGCCAAACTGGACCACCTGTTTGAGCAGGGGGTGTTAGACCAGTGCCACCCGCCGGCTGGGAAACACCCATCGTCACCTCGTTAAGGTTGAACGGGGACATTCACATTTGTGCGGACTATAAGTGCACTATTATTAAGGCACTTCAAAACCATGCATACCCGGTACCGGTGGTCAGCCAAGTCTTGGCGTCCTTGGCGGGAGCAAGGGTGTTCGGCAAGCTGGATTTGGCCCAGGCATATCAGCAGCTGCCGGTCGATGATGTCTCAGCCAAGGCTCAAACTATAGTAACTCACAGGAGGGCTTTCAAGGTCTGGCGCCTGCAATGTGGCGCTGGGGATTTTCCAAAATCTGATGGATTGTCTCCTTAAAGGGATCCCGGGAGTCCAGCCGTTCTTCGATGACGTTTTAGTCGCAGCTCCAGACTCCATGCACGACAAGTAAAATGGATGTGAATTAAAACAAGGACACAAATAAAGGGGGGAAATTGCAACAACCTAACCCAGGGGTGTCAAACATGCAGCCCCAGGGGCCGAATCAGGCCTCTGGAGGTCTTCTGTCAGGCCCGCAGTGGAACCGGCTGGCTTCTGCTGCTTCTTCCAGTTCTGCTGCTGCTGCATCATCGTAGGTTTGCGTTTACAGATACACGCCTGAACAGCATACTCAAGATTGAAACAGCACAGACATTTTGATGCAATAACTCAGAGCAAGAGGTGTCAGTTATCACACACTGTTGAATGAACAAAATATTGCAAGAGTCCTAATGTTTTAAGCATGTTTTTATTTTAACTAAAAAAAAACCCTTTGTGTTTGTGTCCTTTAAAAAGTTTATGTCTCTGCTACCTGGCATTACATTTTATGACATGCATGGCTCGGCCCAACAAGGTCTCATTTATGTCAGATCTGGCCCTCATAAGAAATGAGTTCAACACCCCTGACCTAACCAGTCATGAAAACTCATAAGAAATGAGTTCGACACCCCTGACCTAACCAGTCACGAAAAATGAAGATGAGCAGCAAAGCAAATAACACACACACATACAAGTAGATATTCCAAACTGGCAGGTGGACAGTATCAGCCAAGCAAACAAATTTAAAATAACACAGGAACCGGGTTCCCTGTCTAAATAAATAAATTAGCAGATGCAATTGTTCTGCAAACACATCCAACAGTGCTCAAGAGTTATACATTGGAAAACTGAATGAAAATTATGTCTCATTTTGCTCTCTGTGGACGCACGTGGTCTGCAGCTGAAGATAACTTGTTTCTGGAGGGGGGTTTCAAGGAATACATTTTTTATAAAATCCTGGGAAGCCTAATGATCTGATTTAATTAGTATGGAGTTTCACTGGACAGCATGTGGTGAACAAACCGGAACTTGAAACTTTACTGGTTTTGCGTAACTGACATGTCGATTTTATTATACCATCTACCTAAAGAAACATTCAATTTTCAGGAGAAAAGCCATGCTTGGTCTCTTTTTTGCACTAACATTGCAATGTTCCACAGAGTAATATCCATCAAGGTCTATTGGCATCAAAGTGTAACTTGTTTTAGGAGTGCGCTGTAAGTTACATCGAGAGCCAGTTTGGTGCAGTGGTTAAGTGTGTGGACTCTAATCTGGGAGAACCAGGTTTGATTCCCCACTCCTCCGCTTGCACCTGCTGATGTGACCTTGGGTCAGTCACAAGCTCTGGCACAGCTGTCCTTGAAAAAGAGCAGTTTGTGTCAGAGTTCTCTCAGCCCCACCCACCTCACAGGGTGTCTGTTGTGGGGAGGGGAAGGGAAAGGAGTTTGTAAGCCGCTCTGAGACACCTTTGGGTAGTGAAGGGCGGGATATAAATCCAATCCTTCTTCTAACATTTTGTCCAATATAAATGTGCAAATGTACAAGTCAGGAATGGCAGATAGAGTGTCCTTTCTGGAGCATTTCAAATTAAGTAGTCAATGTTGCTGGCTGATTTTCGGATACTGACTGCAGAGCGTCTTGAATGGGGTTTTTCTGAAGTTTTCCAATAGATGCCAAGGTTTGTTTGAAAATAATAGAGCTCTGGATTCAGAATTCTGTTGGAAGGCTAGTATTGCCTCACTGGGTTTACAAGTACTGTTCTTCATCAACCAAGCAGCTGGATACATTGAAGTGGATAAGCAATATCAGTAGGTTTAATTCATTGGTGTTTTGCAATTTGCGGAATAAATAAAAACCTATTAGATACACTACAGCTTTTGTAATATTAAAAATGGCATGCCTTTCAGAGTTTCAGTAACTGAGCCTGTTATCTGTATGTACTTTGTGCACTTATTCTTCTGTGAGGAAGGAACAGATACCCTTGCTAATGAGGGTGCATTTTTCAAAGTGCTGTATGAGTATCATGCACTAAATGAAGATTTTCCTTTTATTAAACATGACATTATTCAATTCCATCCTATCATCTTACCAGACTTTCAGGAAATGTCCACAATTACTCACATTGTATCTAAATATGGTAATGTTCATTTCCAGTTGGAAGTAAAGGCATTACACTATCATTTTATTCTTGGATAGTCTGCATTGTAAGCTATATCATGTACTTACAGTTCACAAGTGCTCAAAAGGAATTCATGTATGAATAATTAAATGCACTTAATGCACCTGTTAAAAAATCTTCATTATGTTGTATGTTAGTTTGCTATTCACCCTCTGCCTATATGTATGGACTATTAACTTCCATTTCAGTGTAGCTGAGGAAGTGTGTGCACGTGCACATGAAAGCTCATACCGAATAAAACTTTGTTGGTCTTAAAGGTGCCACTGGACTCAAACGTTGTTGTAAATGCACTTATGTTTTCCATGAATCAGGTAAAATTAAAAGAAAATAGAATTTGAAAAACAAGTTGAATGAAAGCAAAACAGCTTTGTTTTTGCTCTGCCACCTGCAAGTGTTTTAACAGTGCAATCCTGTACAGAGTTACACCCTTCTATATCCATTGAAGTCAGTTATAACTTTAGAGTTGCACTGTAAATACACTAACAGAGCAATGCTAAACAGAATTACACCTCTTAGCCAGTTCACTACAGTGGATTTTGACATAATTCTGTTTCAGATTGCACTGCAATCCACTTTGTGGTTTGATCTTCTAAAGATAACCCTATAGCTTCCTGCAGAGATGGATGATTTTGAAAGAGTGAAGCATAGGTCAATAGTCAATTCAGTTTAATCATCAAACTGTTGATCTGTCAGATTATTTTTTTAAAAGGAAGGCATTATTATATGATGGTTTCTCAGGCTATACAACATACTAGTAGACACTGACTACTGGGTAACGGTTCTTTTTATAGCCTGGAGTTCAGGATATTGCAGAAATCTGTAAACATTAAAGTGCAAGTCACACCACTTTCCATTAAGTCAAGTTCAGTCATTTATAAAACCTTTCTTAAATTTAAAAAAAAACATTGATCATCAGGTTGCTATGTTGATATGGTTCTTCATGCTGCAACTGTAAAGTCAAATAGAACATTACTGGTTTTTTTCATATAAAAACACCAGGTTGTATACAAAGAAATATGACAGGAGTTGTGCTTATTGGATTTCCCAGTTTTTCCTCTCTCCTGTAGCCCCTACTGTACCCAAAAAGCTGCTCTGGAGAGTTGGGGGACCCTCTAGAGTCTAGAACAATGTGTGCTATGGTGCTGCAGATAAAGGTGGGAACCAGGGACCACAAAGCCTTTCTGCCAGCCCTTTACGTCCCATTCACAGTGCTGCATGACTAGATATTTTGTTTGCAGTCCATTGAAACAACGCTGTTCTGTTTGTAAACATTCAGTAATCGGTCCTTTCAGCTTGTCTGTATTTCAGTCACAAAGACAAACATTTCAGAAAAATACTGCCAAAGATTTAGGAATACACCCTAATTTTCCGTTATCATAAACCTCGCAAATTAAAAATTTGTCAAAATGCAAAACAGTTTTTGGGCAGGTGTGAATACTTTGATTTCCCCTCACCCTCAAATAATAATAAACTGTCATATTTAACCCCCTCCCCAGCTTTTATGGCCAATACTCCCTTTTTTCATAGATGTATCCAGTGGTAAGTCAATGTTGTATTTTGTTATGCTTAAGAGTTGCCACATTTTGAATGGGGGGGGGAGGATGTTGCTTCACTTTGTAAGTGGCAATAACTCAAGGACAATGATGCTGAATGTGCAAATAGGTCAAAGCAAAACACATGCATTCATTTCATGTGTATGGATTCACTGTTGATGTATGTGTGAGTAATCGATCCTTCTGAAAAGTCTGTATAAAGAGCAGGTTTTGTTAACTCTGGTAAGATCTCTTGTACAGGCCACATTTCTACCCAAATAAATGATGCCCCATACATTTTTTTACTGCTCTTGCTTCCTGAGAATTTCCTTTGCTTGTAGTTGTGCCAAACTTGATGAATCATTTCCTTGAAAGGCCTAGTGGTCAGTGTGTAGAGAAGAGGGTTCAAGGCGCTGTTAATTGGCAATATAAAAATCACTACCCAGGAAGTTATGGAACCTGCAGGGAGAAGAAAAAACAACATTTTATTCAACAATAACCTGTAACACAAGGCATAGTCTATAAATGTGGGTTCTTATTGGCCCAGTGTTAAGTAGGGGGGTTGCCAGCCGCCTGATGGGAGTGGAGGAACCTCCACTATACCAGGCTGTTGCCCACCGCCAGCCAGCTGGCCAGCAGGGAGAAATCCCACCCCCAACTGACCTTTTCGGACCTACTTCCAGTTGGGGGAGGTGACACTGGTTTTTGGCAAAGCTATGTTTTGAAGCCAAATATACCATAGAGTTTTGCCCAAAAACCAGTGGTCCCCCCCCCAACCAGACGTAGGCCCTGTGACGTCCTTGCTTAAAGGGGAAACGGTTTTATCTTTAAGCACTCTCTGAGTACATAAACTTGGTAGTTTTATGCTGCCACCAGGAATTAAAAATTCCAAATCTCTCTCTTTTGGTAGTATGACCTAGGGTCTGGGCACTTCAGAGGACTTTGTAGCCCTGAGGAAGTACTGTACTGATTTCTTGGATAAGTTTAAAACAAAACTGATTTATTTAATAAAGAACAAAATAGCTTTCTGGTTATTTTGAACAGTTGCTGAAGAAAGGAACTTGTAAATATAACTGGCAAAGCTTGGTGCCACAAACAGTCTCTAAAACTCCACTCTGACAGGCTTATACACTCATATATGTAGCCACACAGGCTAGTCTCTTTGTTTTATTCACACTGAATAGAATCAACTATCTTAGTCACACAGACTAAACTGTTGGTCTTATCCACACAGAATTAGACTCAGAATTCCATAGTCACACAGACTATGTTCTCTCTTCAAGCTTCACACACAGAATCCTTCATAACTCTCAGAGTCACACAGACTCTCTTCAAAACACTTCCATACTTGTCTCTCTCATATCACAGAATCGCTTCATAGACACACACACAGAATCCTCTCAGAACATCTCCCACACTCACAGTCATCAGCCAATCAAAATACACGTCTCCCTCTATCACTCTCCTTACAGTACTGTAGTCAAACTAAACATTTAAAGGAACACGGACACCAAAACATGGAATCATTACAGGCCCCAAACTGGAAGCAGGCCTGAAAATGTCTGGGTTCACTTCTAGTCTGCTGAATGGACATTGGGAGACCCTCGCTGGCTAGGTAAGTCAACCTGGCAACCCTAGGGTCGAAATACATGAGCATTCATGTCCTATCACACTTCTAATTAGAACAGAAGAACTTTGCTTGAGTTGGTGATCATATACTTAATTATATCCCAACATACAGTAGAGTAAAGAACATTACTTTTTTCTCTGATTCCATCTCTAGAATAAAATATAGCCATATTCCTGTTGGTGGGTAAGGAAATTCTAGCCTCAGAGTTGTCAACCAAAAACTGGAGAATGTGACAGAATTATTAAAAGAAATTAAGGCAATACCTGGAATTTCTACATGAAGTAAGGAAAGCAATTTTAGTATAAATATAGGAATCCAACACAGTGCATCAGTAAATACGATGAAAAAAAACCGTTTGGCAAGGGTCATCTCTTTCTTCACATGATTCCGGATTTCAGTAGCAGTAATGGCTGTTTGATGAACACTGTAAAACATGCTTCCATAGGAGAACACGATGATGATGAACGCTATCAAGTTAACACCTGTATCAAAAGACAAGGTATGTTGATATTTCATTTAGATGCCTGCTGTCTCAGGCCACAATATAAACCTGCATCAGTATTAAAACAGGTTACAGGTATTTATTTTACTTTTTTAACATTATTGTCTGCTTTTTCACTGAGACTCAGATGGATTATGCAGTATAAGACAATACAACCAACAGGATGTCACATCCAATAAACAATGAAAAGAATTTGGTTTGCAGAAATATGAAACGAAGCAGACTACTGAAACAAAACATAACCATTAATATGACATGTTAAACAATGCAGAAATTACATAGAAGTAACCTGGATTCGAAGCAGACTACTGAAACAAAACATAACCTTTAATATGACATGTTAAACTGCAGAAATTACATAGAAGTACCCTACTTACAGCAACAGACACCTGGATACCGTTTCTGCACTGGCTTAGGCACTGTTTCTAAGAGGTTATTTCACCTCTGTGCCCATTTGTGCTCTCTTGTCCTACACTGCCCATACCAGAGTCCCCTGGATCACTGCTTTTAGGGCTCTCCCCAGCATCTGGACCTGCCCCCTTGACTGAATACCACTCTTCTATGCCATCCTAAGCCCTCCACAGCTGTAAGGGAAAGACTTCTCCCCCAGTAGTAGCAGCTATAGTCAACTAGCCTCTCCCGACAGTGTGAGTCCCCAGCTACATCTGGCCCAAAGCTGTACTGGTTGTTTCACCTGGTCTTTGTGAGTGGTCCTCAGCCCCTTTCCCAATCAATGCCTCCCATTCTTCCAGCCTTTTCTTGCTGTCTCCTGGTCTGGAGGTAGCAGGCCGTGACCCCTCCTGGCCACAGTAAAATACAAGTAAAACCATGCTATCCCTTTATGCGTATTATGCAGGAAACAGAGATTCAAAGCATATCCTGAATATCCAAACATAGTATCCAAACTTGTTAGTTGGGAAACAGGTTCTTTATAGATATTTCTTAGTGTTGGTACACCTCAGTCAATATCCATACATAGGTAATCAGTTTATTTTTCAGTTATAAATTAGGGTGAATATGGAATGTACTTACCTAGAAAAATTACAACAGAATAGATTTGACCTCCAGTGCTTTCTGATTGCTCAGAGTGAAGCGGGAAACAGACACCATTAGTGCCATAGTAATTTTGGAAAAAGTCCTTATTGCTCAGTGGAATGAAAGCAACTACAAATCCTATAATCCAGATGAGAAACAGAATGGCAAGTGTCCTGTACCTTCCTCGCTTCAAGCATCTAAAGGGATAAACTATGCGGATGTATTTTTCCAGAGTCAGATAGGTTAATAATAAAACTGACACCTCTGTGGACAAAATGGCCAAAGATCCCACCAGCTGACACTGAATACTGTCCATCCATAACTGAGCATGTCTATTGTATTCCCCACGATATTTCAGGTCAAAGGCTCCAATTACAAGTAAGTATATACCCATAAGGCAGTCTGCACCTACAAAGAAAATGACATAATAGTTCATAGGAGGCATAGATAGATGACAGATGATGATGATGATGATAGATGGATGGATGGATGGATAGATAGACAGACAGACAGATGGATAAATGGATGGATAGATTAGATAAAATAGATAGATTAGATTACTTAGATAGATAGAGATATAACATGACTCAGTCTTTGTAGTAAAATTTCTCAGATATGCTACTAGAAGAAGAAGAGTTGGCTTTTATACCCCACATTCCACTACCCGAAGGATTCTCAGAGTGGCTTACAATTGCCTTACCTTCCCCTCCCCACAACAGATACCCTGTGAGGTAGGTGGGGCTGAAAGACCTCTGAGAAAACTGTGACTGATCCAAGATCACCCAGCTGGCTTCATGTGGAGGAGTGAAGAATCAAACCCGGTTCTCCAGATTAGAGTCCGCTGCTCTTAACCACTACACCAAGCTGGCTCCTTGGAAACAAAATATGTCTTCCCTCTTTTAGCTAATTTGGAACCCTGCACATAATTTCCTGTTTCTATACTAACATGACTGATTCAAAACCATAATACTTTGCATAGAAATATTTTCATGTTCCATATGGTGGGACCTTCCTCTGACCTGCAAGTAATGGAACTACTTTAATGTAAGGGGACTACTTTAATGTAAGGGGAATACTCACAGCAGAGAGACACTATTGACATGGCATGGAGTTTGTTCTCTGATCGAATGTAAGGCCTCGTGCAGATGACAAAGATGTTTCCAAAGCAAGTGACCACAGACACAACCCAGACAAATACTCTCTGTATGACACTGGCCAACAAGTTCTCAAAGGAAGAAATTCCATCAGTATTTGGTTTACAGCTGCGTACATGAGGGGCATATCCACAATACTGGAATTTTTTAAAATATCTGAGAAAGAAGAAAAAGGGAGGTTGAACATCAAACCAGTGTGCATGAAGTTCTGTTCTTTTTATTTTCTAAAAAACCCTATTTTTTGTAAGATTTCAGTTTTTTTTTTTTGCCAGCCTGGAGTGTTTTTCAGATTTGTAGAAAGATCTGTCTTGTCTGTTTATGGCTCCAGGCTCTGGATTTAAGTATCCACAGATTTAACTACACTGAGAATGAGCTATATTGATGTATATATGATGTAAAATAGCTATTTATATATGATACTTACATATGGGACAGATTTCTAAGTGGGCTGAATATTCTTCTCTGGATAGTTGTAATTTCAATGCCCTCTAGGCTACTATAAACATTGAAAAAAAGAGTTTTAAGTATCATCAGTATGTGAAGTCATATACACAAGAAAAGTGATTGAAAAAACTTCATGTAAAGTAGATTCTTTGATGGCATAATTTATGCATCTTTCATATTTATTACATGGACCCACTAAAAATGGTCACATAAAATCCTCTGAATACACCAAGCATGATCTTTCAGCACTGCCCAATTCACACTGAAGTTTGTGTTGTAAAAGAAATTTGACTTAATGAGTTTTCAGATAGAACAAGAGGGGACCTGCAACAAAATGTTGCATAATGTGTTGTGGTTTGTTTTATATCCCAATAAGGCCAAGGGATATGGAAGACATTAAGGGGGCATCACAGGGCATCTCCCGCAGACTGCAGGGGGTGGGAATTACCGGGCACAGCAGTAAAATGTTCAAAGCAACCCCGTGCATCAGAGACCACTGCAGCTGGTATTACCACCCTGGCATTTAAAAGGTTAAGTGTGATAATAGTGAGAGGGGAAGGAAGGAGGGGGGCTTGCAGAAGTGGGGGCACCCAAAAACATGCAGGGAGGTAGTATTCTCCCTCTTTTGCTTCTTTCCCCCTCCCCTTCTTTCTCTTTCTCTCTGCCACCAAGGTAGGGTTGCCAGCTCCACGTTGGGAAACACCTGGAGATTTGGCGGGTGGGATTTGGAGAGGGGAGGGACCTCAGCAGGACATAAGGCCACAGAGTCCACCCTCCAAAGTAGCCATGTTCTCCAGGAGAACTCATCTTGGTTGTCTGGAGATCTCCAGGTGCCACCTGGAGATTGGCAACCCTATCCCCAAGCCTAAATATTAAAACTCTCTGTCTCTGTCTCTCTCTCTCTCTCTCTCTCTCTCACACACACACACATTTTCTCTTCCTGACACACGTCTGCTGCTTCAGATATTCTGGAGAGCAGCAGAAGTCACCACCACAGTCAGAAAAGGCTGCTCACATCACATCCCCCTCCCCCCACCGGAGGGCTAGTTCTTATAGTGACTGCCCAGGCTTCTCCATCTCCCTGCTTCTCCTGCAAGGCGTGGGAGGGCAGGACACAATTTGAACAGCTTCAAAGCAAAGCAGGCAGAGCAGGCAAGCTCGCTGAGTGTGTGAGGTGGGGAAACAGGAGAGGGAGGGGGGAGAGAGAGAGAGAGAGAGAGAGAGAGCGCAAATGGCAACTTTATCAGGCAACTGCTTGTCAGGAAGGCTAGGCAGGCAGCCGGCACAGGACTGGGACTGGGGGACGCTCTTGCTCTGCAGTCCTGGACTGCAGCTGGACAGAAGATGGGGTCTCAGAGCCTGTGGGCACTCTGAAATTGCAGAAGCCAGCCTCTCCTGTCCTCCCTCCAACCCAGATTCTCTCCCCCTCCTCCCTCAGGTCTGCATTTCTTCATTTCCCTGCTTCTGCTCCCCCCCCACAACTCCTGAGACGCAGGATTTCTGTGGTATTGAGAACCATGAAGGGGGGGGGGCTCTTCTTTCTCTAGACAGTTTCTGCTGCCAGGTGGCTGTAACCGCCAGCGTTCTTTGCAGGGCTTGTGCAGCTCCCTTGGGCTCCTGAGTGTTCTACTGGGGATCTGTCTGTAAAGAATGTCGTGTAACTTTTGGGGGGGATTTAAATATCCCTTGTATACTTTTTAAAGCATGTAATATTTTTCTGCACAACTGGAGCGTGCTCCAAGTGTACTGAAAGATCTCCTTGCCCCCTGTGTGCCCCAGATTTGCGGGAATAAGTATCCGCACACAGGGGGTGCCTTCACTATTAGATATATAGATAACTCTGTTCAGGTTTCCACTGTAATCTTCATATGCTTCAATTGCCCTCTGTGA